CAAACATTCATCTTCCCTCCCCTCCATATCCCTCTAATTTGGAGGATGCAAAAAAATATATTTTTGAGGGGTTTTGCTCCCATCCTCTCTCCTCCTCCCCCTTCTAAAATTTGAACCAAACATAATTAATTATAGATTATCCCTCCCTTCCATCTACTCTGAACCAAACACACCCTTACAGTATGATAATTTTTCAAAAATCTATATATTTAGAAAAATATATATTCGAAAAATGATAAAGTTATCCCAAAAAAATGTATTTTTAAAAAAATTCAAAAATTCAAAAATAAAATAAAAATTAATTTTGATAATTAAAAAATTTAGTATTGAATTAAAACATTTAAATTAATTTTGAATTTTAGATAATAACTGAATTATAACCAAATTCAAAAATAACTTAATCGATTAATAACAATTTAATAATCATTTAATTATAACAAGATATTTAAAACAGATTTAAATTTAGTCATGGTTTTGGTCCTCAAAACCAAATATTTTGCACACCCTTACTTTTGAGAATGATCAACATTTAAGTCAGTTCAGTAGATAGTGTTAGTTGGTTAATTTTTGTTATGTACTTATTATGGTTGCAATCAAACAACGGCAATGATAATACATTCAGTTAGAGAGTTAGTTACGCTTAACTAACTCATAATTTCTCTCTCTCTCTCTCTCTCTCTCTCTCTCTCTCTCTCTCTCTCTCTCTTCTCTTCTTCTTCATTCTTGATTTCACAAAATCATCTTTCTTGAATCCTTTGTTCCAACAAATTGGTATCAAGAGCTTGTTTGCGATTTATAGAGAATCTAATGGCAAACGGATCAACAACATCAACACAGTTTCCAGCGAATTTACCGATTTTCAAAGGTGAAAACTATCAACGGTGGGTCGCGCAAATGAAAGTTATTTTCAGATTTCAAGATGTCGTAGAAATCTTGAATGATGGAATATCATAATTGGAAGTAAATGCTACAGAAGCCTAGAAAGTTGCGCACAAAGATCAGAGGAAGAAAGATGGCAAGGCGTTGTTCTTGATTTACTAGTGTGTGGATTGTGACATTTCGAGAATATAATTGAAGAAGAAACATCAAAAGGAGCTTGAGGAAAGCTGAAATCTTTGTATGGTGGAGATGAGAAACTGAAGAAGGTGAAGTTACAGACACTGAGGAAACAGTACGAGATGCTTCAGATGAAAGAGGATGAATCTATTTCTGCATATTTCTCAAGAGTTGTAACGATAACAAACCAGATGAAGGCATGTGGTGAAGCGCTTACGGATCTGCAAAAGATAGAAAAGGTATTGAGATCCTTAATTGCAAATTTCAATTACTTTGTTGTGACAATTGAAGAGGCCAAGAATCTATCTGAGATGAAGTTGGAAGAATTTCAAACTTCATTGGAGGCTCACGAAATAAGGTTACAGCAGAGAAACTCAGAAAGAGAGAAGGCAGCTGAACAAGCATTGCAATCAAGATTCAGTAAGAAAGCTGGAAAAGAGAAGTCAAAACAGCGAAAGAATCTTGCTGGTGATGAGAAGTCAAGCAAGAATACTGATTCGAAAGGTGTGGACAACAAGTATTCTGGGAAGAAAGTTGACACGAAAGAGGTGCAATGTTACAATTGTCAAGGTTTTGGCCACTATGCTAGAGACTGTCGAAGAAATAAAACTGCAAGGTCGGAAGATAGTGATGAAGCTCAATATGCACGAGCTTGAGATAGTGATTCTGATGATATGTTGTTGTTGGTGAACACTCATTCGACTACTGAGAAAAACAACATGTGGTATCTGAATTCAGAATGTAGCAACCACATGACTGGCAATAAAAATCGGTTTACCAAGTTAGACGAGTCAGTCAAAAAGGTGATAAAGTTTGCATATGGAAGGCATATCAAATCAGGTGGTAAAGGAGATATTTCGTTTATCAGAAAGGATGGTAGAAAGACTACTATCACTGAAGTTCCATATGTACCTTCGATGACAAGTACTTGATAAGTGTAGGTCAATTACTTGAAAAAGGCTTCAATATAAAGTTGGAGAATAATCAGATGAAGGTATATAGGACTGATGGAAGGCTAATAATGAAAGCACCATTGGCGGAGAACAAAACGTTCAAGGTTGAACTCAACACATCAGATCATAAATGTCTTGCTTCAACTATAGAAGACAAGAATTAGCTATGGAATCACAGGTATGGACATCTAAACTTCAAGAGTTTTTGTATACTCAATCAGAAAAGAATGGTGTTTGGGTTGCCGTATGTGAAGGAACCAAAACAGATATGTGAGGAATGATGCAAAGCAAAACAGGCAAGGAAGATGTTCAAATGTGATTTTCCTATAAGATCAAGGCAAAAACTGGAGCTGGTTCATTCAGATGTGTGTGGATCCTTTGAAGTAAAGTTGAATGGAGGTAACATGTATTTCCTTACTTTCATTGATAAATTCACCAGACATATGTGGATCTACCTTATTGAAAAGAAAAGTGAGGTATTCACACAGTTCAAGAAGTTCAAGTTGCATGCTGAAAAACAAAGCGGCTGCAAATTGAAGAAGTTAAGAACTAATGGTGGTGGTGAATATACTTCTGCTGAATTTGCTAGATTTTGCAATGAGGAAGGTATAGAGCATGAAGTTATTGCACCCTATACTCCTCAGCATAATAGCATAGCTGAGAGAAAGAATAGAAGTGTACTGAACATGACGAGATGTATATTAAAAGCTAAGAATATGCCTAAGAGATTTTGAGCTGAAGCAGCTTCTACAGCAATATACATTCTAAATAGATGCCCAATGAAGAAGATGGTCGAAAAGACACCGCATGAGGCTTGGATAGGGTCGAAGCCAAATGTAAGTCATCTTAGAGTTTTTGGATCAATATGTATCACGCATGTACCTGAACAATTGAGAAAGAAGTTGGATGATTGAAGTGAAGTCATGATGCTCATAGGTTATCATTCGACTGATGCATACAAGTTGTATTCACCAATCGAAAATAAACTAGTGATCAGTAGAGATGTTCTTGTAGACGAAAGCAAAGGGTTGGATTGGAGTCAAAGTTCAGTTCGACAAGAATCAGACACAGTCACAACTGTGTTCGAAAAAGATGAACAGAACGAAGCTTCGACAAATCGAAATGAATAAGGTGATACATCGACTGTCGAAATGAAGAACCACCTGTGCAAAATGTAAGAAGATCCACAAGAACAAGAACTGGGTCGACTAGGCTGATTGGATATGAGAGGTTTCCAGATCAAGCAATCGATGCAGATGGTGACTTTATCGAAGAAGCCATGATGATGGCTGAAGCAGAACCAATTGATTTTGGCGAAGCCTTGAGCAATTCGAATTGGTGTGAAGCCATGAAAGAAGAACTTAGAGCCATTGAGAAGAATAAGACTTAGGAGCTTGTCAAAAGAACCAACAAGAAACCAATTGATGTGAAATGGATCTACAAGGTGAAACGAAGGCCAAATGTTGAGATTGTAAAGTATAAGGCAAGACTGGTGTCCAGAGGTTTTCTACAAAAACCTGGTATTGACTTCGATGAAGTATATGCACCTGTATGCAAGGATCGAAACAACAAGGATTGTTGTTTCGATAGCTGCATGTAGAGGATGGAAAATGCACCAACTTGAAATAAAGTCAGTATTTTTGAATGGTCCATTGGAAGAAGAAGTCTACAATACTCAACCCCAGGTTTCGACTTCAAAGGACAGGAGTCGAAAGTTTACAAATTAAAGAAGGCTCTATATGGGTTGAAGCAAGCTCCTAGAGCTTGGAATAAAAGGATAGATAACTTCATAATCAAAGCAGGTTTCACAAAATGTGTCTCTGAACATGGAGTATATGTAAATGATGTCGAAAGTGTCAATAGAATCATTTTATGTCTCTATGTGATGAATTACTCATTACAGAAGCAGACGAAGCTGAGATAATGAAGGTAAAGTCGAAGTTAATGCAGGAATTCAAAATGTCTGATTTAGAGAATCTCTCCTATTTCCTGGAAATGGAGGTTCAAAGGCATCGAAGAAGGAGTTTTTCTTGCATCAAACGAAGTATGCTCAAGATATACTGAAGAGGTTCAATATGAGCAAATGTAAGGCAGTTGTTACTCCATTAGAGACTAGAGCAAAGCTGAAAAGGAATCGAATGATGAATTTGTAAGTCCGACCCTTTACAAACAAATCATGGATCCTTGAGGTATCTTTGCAATACTAGACCAGATATCTGCCAAAGTGTGAGATTGTTGAGCAGAGAAGCCTCAAGAATGTCATCTCATCGCAGTAAAGAGGTGTTGAGATACATAAAAGAAACTATTGATCATGGTGGGTTGTTACCAAATAAATCGAAAGAACAGCTCAGATGTCGAAGTTCATAGATACACTGACTCAGACTTCAGTGGAGATCAAGACGAAAAGAAAAGTACTGTAGGATACATTTTCATGATCGATGGAGCTTCAATCTCATAGAGTTCGAGAAAGCAAAGCATTGTGGCTTTGTCATCATGCGAAGCAGAATATGTGGCCGCATCATA